ATGAGAATTAAACCAGGTAACTATTACATAGAGCTATGTTAATACTGCAAATCTAGGTTTCATCTCGTTTATGATGCCCTACCTCCTCACCCTAGAGTAATTCCTTTCATCCATCTCTTAGCATTGTCTATAATATTTCTTAAATTATTAAACATTTTTAAATCATCAAAATTATTAAAATTTACCTTTCCCCAGCACTTTGGGAGGCTGAGGTGGGGGGATCACCTGAGGTCAGGAGTTCGAGACCAACCTGACCAACATGGTGAAACCCTGTCTCTACTAAAAAAAAAAAAAATATGAAAATTAGCTGGGGTTGGTAACTGGTGCCTGTAATCCCAGCTACTCAGGAGGTTGAGGCAGGAGAATTGCTCGAACCCATGAGGCAGAGGTTGTGGTGAGCCGAGCTAGTGCCACTGCCAGCCTGTGCAACAGAGTGACACTGCATCTCAAAAGAAAAAAAAAAGATTAACCTTTCACTCCAGCCACTGTTGAGGCAACTGACTTTTCTCCTTTGTTCTTTTTCTTTTTTTTGAGACAGAGTCCAGGTTGGAGTACAGTGGCACAATCTTGGCCCACTGCAACCTCTGCCTCCCAGGTTCAAGCGATTCTCCTGCCTCAGCCTCCTGAGTAGCTTGGATTATAGGCACCCATCACCAAGCTCAGCTAATTTTTGTATTTTAAGTAGCGATGGTGTTTCAACATGTTGGCCAGGCTGGTCTCGAACTCCTGACCTCAGGTGATCTACCCACCTTGGCCTCCCAAAGTACTGGAATTACAGGCATGAGCCATTGTGCCCGGCCAGCAACCTACTTTTCTTGAGCATAATTCTTTTGTTCTGTTCCAGAACTTGAAGACGACTACTCACCTGTGCAAGCACATCCATGGGGCAAACTTTGACCAGAGGGGACAGGAACCAGTCCTTCCTTACCTCAGGTGGATCATTCTAGGTCATTCTACATGGCTCACCAGAAGGCCCCAGAGAGATAGATTGCTAGTTGCCGACAGTGAACAATTTGAGAAGATGCCTTTATGATGGTTTTTCCTCCTTTCCTGTTGCACTCTTCCCAGTTCCAAGGGATCACTCCCTTCCTCCCCATTCCCAACACCATCTTGGCTCACTGCAGCCTTGACCTCGCACAACCAGGCAATCCTCCTGCCTCAGTCTCCCAAGTAGCTGGGACTACAGGTTCATGCCACCACACCTGGCTAGTTTTTGTATTTTTGTAGAGATGAGGTTTCACCATGTTGGCCAGACTCATCTTGAACATCTGGGGTTGTGTTAGGATTACAGGTGTGAGCCACGGTGCCCAGCCATCTCATGTATATGTATATGTCTAAAATGAGAGATAGCCTGGGGAGAAGTGCCAGATATAGGTGAAGGGAAGGAAGGCAGCAAATCACACTGTCACATGTGTACCTATGAAACAATCTTGCATGTTCTTCACATGTACCCCCAAATGTAAAATGCAATAAAAAAAATAAAATAAAATAACAAATGATATCCTGCAACCAATGATGTAAGACTAAGAGGAAAGTGACTGTTAGGAATTGGAAAGTATGTGTATGTGATTAAGACAGAAGTAGGCCGGGCGCGGTGGCTCAAGCCTGTAATCCCAGCACTTTGGGAGGCCGAGGCGGGTGGATCACGAGGTCAAGAGATCGAGACCATCCTGGTCTACGTGGTGAAACCCCGTCTCTACTAAAAATACAAAAAATTAGCTGGGCATGGTGGTGCGTGCCTGTAATCCCAGCTACTCAGGAGGCTGAGGCAGGAGAATTGCCTGAACCCAGGAGGCGGAGGTTGCGGTGAGCCGAGATCGCGCCATTGCACTCCAGCCTGGGTAACATGAGTGAAACTCCGTCTCAAAAAAAAAAAAAAAAAAAAGACAGAAGTACTTGATTTCTGTATTTCACTAAACAAAAGCAATAGCCTAAAAATAGCCACCGTTATTTGGAAGTCACTGTCGGTGAACTAGAAGCTATAATTTCTCCTGTCTGTCACTACAGTGCCCTCTTCACAAGACATTGCTCTATGAGGAGAGCGGGTGGGATAATCTGTCTTATCTGTGTCCTACTCTTTGCTCCTGCCTTTAAAAAAGATAGTTGTTTTTTTTTTTCTTTTTGAGATGGAGTCTCACTGTGTTACCCAGGCTGGAGTGTAGTGATGAGATCTCAGCACACCACAACCTCCGCCTCCCGGGTTCAAGCGATTCTCCTGCCTCAGCCTCCTAAGTAGCTGGGACTACAGGCACGTGCCACTATGTCTGGATAATTTTTGTATTTTTAGTAGAGATGGGATTTCACTATGTTGGCCAGGCTGGTCTCAAACTCCTGACCTCCTGATCTTCCCGCCTTGACCTCCCAAAGTACTGGGATTACAGGTGTGAGCCACCGTGCCTGGCCTAAAAAGTTTTTTTTCTTAAGTGTACAATTCAGTGGTTTTTAGTGTATTCACAAGTCATGCAATCACCACCACTAATTCCTCAACATTTTGACCATTCCAAACAGAAACCCATATTCATTAGGGTGGAGCTTCCCTGCCCTCTCCAGGGCACCATCCTCCAGCACTTTAATGTATTCAACCCAAAAGTTCTCTGAACCCTGTCACTTAGGGCTTTTATGGAGGTTTCATTACATGGGCCTGAGTGATTACATCATTGGCTGTTGGTGATTGGGAACTAGATCTCCAGCCCTTCTCCCCTCCCTGGAAGTCAGAGGTGGGAGGTGAGGGCGAAACTCTGTAATCAAGGCTTGGCAACCAGCTTCCATGGTGAAGCTATCAACACCTACCTCCCACTAGCAAGAGGCATCCCGTTAGTATAAACTCAGGTATGGTTGAAAGAAGCTCATTATGAACAACAAAAGACACTCCAGTCCCCGTCTCAAGGGTTTTAGGAGCCCTGTGCCAGGAAGCGTGGACAAAGACCAAGCATATTTTTATTTTCTTTCTTTCTTTTTAGCAAATGGAAATCTTGATTTATCCTATTTTTTTTTGTTATTTTATTTTCATTATGTTAATTTTTATCTTTTATATTTAAAAAATTCTCCTCTCTCTCTCTCTCTCTCTCTCTCTATATATATATATATATATATATATATATATATATATATTTGTTTGTTTGTTTGTTTTGAGACGGAGTTTCACTCATGTTACCCAGGCTGGAGTGCAATGGTGCGATCTCGGCTCACCGCAACCTCCACCTCCTGGGTTCAGGCAATTCTCCTGCCTCAGCCTCATGAGTAGCTGGGATTACAGGCATGCACCACCATGCCCAGCTAATGTTTTGTATTTTTAGTAGAGACGGGGTTTCACCATGTTGACCAGGATGGTCTCGATCTCTTGACCTCGTGATCCACCCGCCTCGGCCTCCCAAAGTGCTGGGATTACAGGCGTGAG